GTAGCCACCAGCCCCATGTGGCTATGGAGCACTTGGAATGTGACTAATGTGAATAAGGAACTGAATTTTAAAATTTTTATTGAATTTTCATTAGTTTTAATTTAAACAGCCACATGTGGTTAGTGGTTCCCATGTCGGACAGGACAGGGCTAGAGAACGGATGAACATAAACATCTAACTGGAAGGGGTAAAATAAACTAAGTGGAACAAGCAGGAGAACAGAGGAGAGAGTGATTAATTAATTAAAATCCAAATGAAAAGCCCAGCCGGGCGTGGCTCAGAGGTTGAGCATCGACCTAGGATCCAGGAGGTCGGGGTTCGATTCCCGGTCAGGGCACATGCCCAGGTTGTGGGCTGCAGCCGATCAATGACTCTCTCATCACTGATGTTCCTATCTCTCTCTCTCCCTCTCCCTTTCTCTCTCTGAAATCAATAAAGATATATTTTAAAAAATCCAAATGAAATGCTACTTAAGTGTTACATCATATGGGTGCTCTTGTGGATCTAATATTTCAATCAAGGCAGATGCTGGATCCTGCCAGTTCCTGGTGGAATTCTCTAACAATTGCCTGCAATGCCTTGTTTTACAGTCCTCATGAAAATGCGCCCTTACCTTTAGACCCCAGTCACAGTGGCTCAGGTTGCAATATGAGGTCAAGTTTGTGTTCCCTCGACTTTAGAACAGACACAGGCTGCTGGGTTATCTGTAGGTCGAACAAACGTTTTCCTTACGGAATGGATCTTCTCAAGGACATGCACAAGGATTTGTGTAACATTTCCAGAGTTCTGCTCTATAAAAGGAAGTTTTCATATGGGTGTGACCAGTTCATTACATGCTTTTTCCATTAAAAGAAATTTTTTGTGGTCCTCTGTAGTGGAATGAGGTAACTTTTCTGCTCAATACTTGAACACTGGTCCCCCAGATACACAGTGATTAGGGGCTTGTAAATTGAGCCTGCAATGAATCAGCTGCTTTCTAATGTGTGCCTGATGCCAAAGAGTGAGTCAGTGTTATTAATGTGGGAGATTCTTGTCTGCCTACACCCAAACTGAGTTGTTTAGTTACAGATTGCATAGAAGTATGGAATACAACCCTACTTTAGACCATTTGAGGTGTGGCATCTCTCATGAGAACATTTGTTCTCATCTTGATTTTAGCAGCTATGCTTGGTCATACTTCTGAAGTAGCCTTAATAACTCAGGATGTATAGATTGAGATTGAATGGTTTTGTCCACAGATGGTTTTGGTCTATTCAATTCAAGGGCAACGAGGGATTAATAAATACTGCAAAATTGTGTTATATTGTTCTTAACTCTTTACTTAATGATATGTAACAGAATGTATTAGCAAATAGTAGTGAAATGGCTGAGGCTAAAACATTACTTGTACAAGATGTTATTTGGAAGAACTTATTCTTCCAATTCTTGGGTGAGAAGGTAAGAATAGAGTTTTAAAGGAAGACCGAGTAGGATGATAGGCTTATGATTTTGGAAGATTGATACAAAACTTTTAAATTATCATTATCATAATAAGAGAAATACATGTACATTACTAAAAATAGAAAAGGCAGAGAAAGCTTTAAATTAATAGTGAGCCCGACCAGGCGTGGCTCAGGGGTTGAGCACTGACCTAGGATCCAGGTGATCGGGGTTCGATTCCCGGTCAGGGCACATGCCTGGGTTGCAGGCTCGATCCCCAGTTAGGGGCGTGCAGGAAGCACCCGATCAATGACTCTCTCATCATTGATGTTTCTATCTCTCTCTCCCTCTCCTTTGCTCTCTCTGAAATCAATAAAGATATAAAAATTAATTAATTAATAAAATAAATTAATAGTGAAAAGCTCATTCTCCCTGACCCCTATTTTCATTCACTAAATATAACTACTATTACAAGTTTTTGTGTGTAAGCTTCTAGAAAATTTTTATAGATATGCATATAGACACAAGTGGAAAAATACTACTCTGCACCCAGCTTTATTTATTTATTTAGTGCTTTATCTTGGAGACATCTCCTATGTCATTATATAGGCTTTTGCCATTCTTTTCTCAATAGACTATTTTTTTATAGCAGTTTTAGGTTCACGGCAATATTGAGCAGAAGGTAAGGACTTTTCTCATATACCTTTGTCCTTACACATGTATAGTTTCCTCCATTATTTTTTTTTCAGTTTTCATAAAGGTCTATTTCATTATTGGTGGGTAGCTCATTTAACAGTTAAATACATTAAATAATGTATGGGTGACTACATCCTCCATTATTAATAACCTGCACCAGAGTGGTACATTAATTATAATTGATTAACATATATTGACACATCATTATCACCCAAAATCTATAATTTACATTAGGGTTCACCCTTGTGTTGTATATTCTATGGTTTTTGACAAATATATTTCTTGTTTCTTTTTTCCGTTTCATGACATTTTTGGATTGGTTTTTAGTTATTGGTGTTGACCTTACTTTTTTTGAAAGAGTTGAGGTTACAGATCATATATCTCTCATTTGTTACCCTTGATTTTTGCTATAGGAAATGGATATTAAAATAAACTTTATTTTTAGAACACTTTTAAATTTAAATGCAAAGCTAGTACAGAAAGTTCCCATATGCTCCACACCCAGTTTCTCCTATTATTAATATGGTATATTTGAGCCCCTGCCAATGTGACTCAGTTGGTTGAGCATTGTCCCTTCCACCAAAAGGTTACCAGTTTGATTCCTGGTTAGGGCATATTCCCAGGTTGCAGGTTCAATCCCTGTTTGGGATGTGTGCAGGAAGCAATTGATCAATGTTTCTCCCTCACATTGCTGTTTCTCTCGCTTCCTTCCTGTATCTCTAAAATCAATAAAAACATATAAAAATATGGTATATTTGTCACAATTAATGAACCAATATTGATACACTATTATAAACTAAAGTCCTTTTTCTGTTCCAGGATCCAATCCAGGGTACTACATGGCTTTCCTTGACTGTATCTCTTTAGGCTCTTCAGGCTGTGCCAATTTCTTAGACTTCTCTTGTTTTTGATGACCTTGATAGTTTTGAGGAATACTGATCAGGTATTTTGTAGGATGCCCTCAACTAGAATTTTTCTGATGTTTTTCTCATGATTATACTGGGGTTATGTGTTTTTGAGAGGAAGACCACGCACATATAGTGCCCTTCTCATCACATTGTATCGAGGGTATATACTATCAATATTACTCATCACTGTTGATGTTAATTTTGTTAGCTTGGCTAATGTATTGTTTGTTAGGTTTATCCACTGTAAAGTTATTCTCTACCCCCTTCACTTTCTCATACTGTAATCTTTGGAAGGAAGTCAAAACATATGGAGTAAGAGATTATGCTTCACCTCCTTGAGGGAGAAATGTCTACATAAATTAATTTGAATTCTGTTATCTCCCTTTTATGTATTTATTCAGTTATTTAATTAACATGGACTCATGGATATTTTTTCATGCTTTGGGTTATAATCCAGTACTACTTTATTTTGTTGCTTATATTGTTCCATCTCTGGCCATTGGGAACTCTTTCAGTTAATCCTGTGGTCCTTTGACATATACCCATCAATATCAACATTTTTAAAAAGTACTTCCTGGCACTATAAAATTATTAACGCATCTTATATATTTTCTGTGCTTAGTCCTGGAATCATCCATTTTCTCCGAGGAGCTCTGGTTCCTTTTATTGGAGAATAATGTTTAGAAACCAAGATCTGGGTGCTAGGTGTGCTCATTACTACTGGGATATTATTGCTTTTAGACCCTCTCAGCTGACATAGCAAGGGCATTTATGTACTATGTATATATACATCTATAAATATTTCTATATATAACCATCTGTGTGTATACATGTGTATATATGTGTATGTGTGTGTGTGTGTGTGTATTCAAACACACACACACATATCTATATTAAGCTAAATGTGATTCATATTTAGGTCTTTAACTCCAACCCATTATCATATGGGCCATTCTAGCCTTTTCTAATCTGTAACCTCCCTCTCCAACAGTGAGAAACCTGGCTTCTATAATCTACCATTTATTTACTTATTTGTTCAATTCCAGTGCACATGCATAGTTGTTTGCTTGAGACTTGATAATGTATATACCCCCTTGGGAAACTACATGCCCATCCAGAGGGAACAATAGCTGTCAAATTCCATAGCAAACAGGGTTGGGCAGATGAGTCTACTTCTGAAGAAGATTGTCTTGTGGAAAGCATTTCCCCCAGAGCCTTTTCAGTTATGTGTAACTGGTTAGAGCTACTAGTCTAGGTGTGGGTGTTAGTGTGGGGGTGGTGCAGGAAATGACCCTGAATTGACAAAATGCAGAGCAGCCTTTGTGAAACCTGGGGTGGGGTGAAACAACTTAGCCCATTATCAGTGGAGTTTTGGGTTCCAGTATTCCCTGTTGCAAAAGTCGTACATAACAAAAAGAAAGATTTTTATAAGATTGTACTTTATGTTCCATATAGTTGAGCCTTCAAACTTCTAGTGGACTGATGGATGTATTTTTTTTCTTTTGGTGGGGATAAATTGTTTGTGGAAGGATATGAACTCAGTATATCTTTGGGAGGCTTCAACTGATCTCTTTTTGTGGCATTACCTTTGAGACACTATCTAAAGGGAAATGACCATTACAAGAGAGTATTTTAGTAGTATTTTGTTTCATGAAAATATAGCTAAATTTAAATATATATACTTTTTTTTTTTTTTTTTTTTTTTTT